AAAAAAAAAAAAAAAAAAAAAAAAAAAAAAAATAAGAAGAAAGAAAGAAACGGGGAGCTCTCGGGAAGGCAAAAATCTCGGGGGAAAATCGCACAAAAGGATTCCAGCTTTCACTCTCGCGCGAATTAGCTACTCCCCTTGGCAATGCACGACGACCCGAGAGAGAGAGAAATTCCGAGAGCTAAATGGTCACCCTCCCCTACACACACGCGGCTGATTAAGCCGGCAGCGGAGAAGCAAAGAGGATCTGGTAGGAAGGGGAATACCGGAGATCGGCCATAAATCACCGGGTTAATCCAATAATTTTCCCCGCGGCGCGCCTGTTCCAATTTTCCGCGGCAAAACAAAGGCACACACACACATTATCCACCGCCCGAGGGGCATCATCACCAGCAGGGGCGCTTGTTAGCGGCCTGCGGCTGATATGCTCCGCGGTGCCTCCTCACGGGAAAACAATACAAATAAACGAACCGCGTTGTATCGCGTGATCATCGAGGCCGATACATAATATAATGGCGCAGGTGCACTTGCTCGTTGTATCGTTAACCCGAGCATCGATCCGGACACCTCGGGGACCCTCAACTCTCGCTCTCGGCTAATAGAATATACCTACGCGCTTATAGACCGCGTAAATTATCTGACGGATGCGCGATATCCGATTTAATTTAGGGCCCATTAGAAAGGAAGCGGGGGGAGGGGGGGGCTTTGATAAATCGCCGATGCACGTGCGTACGAATACCCATGTACCTTTGATAGCGAAATACGCGCACGCGAGAGCATACAGAAGAGACCAGTTGATATAATTTAAGGAAAAGCGATCGGCATTGAGAGCGAGCAAGCGCGCGCATGAAGAGTACGTGTGCAGTGTGTATAGGGGTCTTCGGTATATATATGGAGCGCGAGGGAGGGAGAAGGGGACGCGGGGCAAAACAAACGAAAGAGAGGGATCGCACGGGTTTAATCGGATAAGTATAAGTAGAGAGAAAGAGTGAAAAAAGAGAGATGAGGCAAAAGGAGGAGGAGGGAGGGGGTAATATCGATCGAGGGGTACGATAATTTCGCTTCGCGCGCCCGAGAGACCTGGGCATCGAAGAGGCAGCGATTTATCGGCGCGACGATAAATAACAGAGGGCCGCGAGTTTGTACGTATATCATACGTGTACTTTATAGAGAAGGGACGTACGGACCGCGTGTGTATAGATATATACTTTGGATTTTCTCTCATTGTGGGCTAATTAAGCGGCTCTCGGGGGTTCATTTGCGTCGCGTTTAACATTGACGCCTATCGGCTCCCACACGTGCACCGGATCTAATTTTTTTTTTTTTTTTTTTTTTTTTTTTTTTTCATAAATGTTCGAAAAACGTGCCGCCTCTGCAGCTGTGCGTTTTATACAAGTGCACATCATGCACTCGTGAGTTATTTTCTTACAGCAGAGCTGCGAGGGGGCAAGAGTTAGAGGCGTCAGGTGTAAATCGTTCTTTATCGCGATGTATAACGACATGCATGTGTAGCAGGTATGCGCGTGGCCGTTTTATTTTGCAAATTGCGCGTGGCTAAACTCCCGATGCGCGTCCGGCGTCGATTTTCCGCTGTGAAATACGGCGTGACTATTAGAAAAAGGGGGGGATGGAAAAGAGCCGATGGATTTTTTGTAAATGAAAAAAAAAAAGGAAGCATATAGTATATAGACACGTGAAGCGATGGGTGGCTCGTTGATACGGTAATTGAGGCTGTGTACGCGTATTATGATGTATATATATACGCACGCGCGAGTTTTACTTTTCGCGAGTGAATTTAATAACTCCGGACAACACGCGCCTGTTATTATTTATTGCTCGGTGTTTATTTATGCTTTTGGCGGTTACTCTCAACGGTGTGTATGTGCCGCGTGTGTTTATTTATCGCTGATGGCTATATGTGTTTTTTGTACATGAAAAATAATTTGAAAGCTCATCGCGTTTCGTCGGAAAATTGCACGGATAATTGAATGCTTTCGTCGCAACCGTACTATTATTATTTATTTTTTGCTTTATATTTCTACATGACATACAGTGTACATGTGCGCGAGAAGCACATAATGCAAGGCGCGCTCCACTTCATAAAGTACAATGCAAATATAGGTTTACGGTGGTTAATGAGGATCAGCCGGTGTGTGTAGAAAGTTTCGAAAAACTTATCAGCTCCGTTCGGGGAAAACGTTGCAATTATACGGCTATGCGCCGTGACGCGTTGTCAACGAAAGAGAAATTGGGGAGAAGAAAAAATGAGAGAAAAGCATTTATACGAGTCCGACTCGCGTCTACACATTGCATATCGTATATTGTCCTCCTCGACCTGGCCATTATTACAGAGGAGATAAAAAAAAAAGAGAGGCGTTGCAATCGAGCAGAGAAGAGCAAATGGTATAGGTACAAGCCGCGTGAGCTTCGAAATTTTCCGACTATTTATTGTTGTGAGCTTACATCGTTCCTATTATCTTCCTGCTGTATATACATCAGATGAGGCGCGTGTGTTTCATTGGGGCGGTACAGCGTTGCTCTCTTTTTGATGATGATTTTTACTTTGCGCGTACACGTCGAGGGTCAAAACCAAATTTGTAGTTGCGGTAACTGCCCATCATTTGGGCTGATTATTAGGCGGGTTTTTACGAATTTTTAGGAAAATTCGAAGGAAAATATCATACAAAGTGATTACATTTGCGGAAGATGAGAGTTGTGGAGGGAGCCTTTGAAGCGAAATTGGTCCAGAAAAACAAAGATCTGATCCATATCTCTCATTGGATCGTTGCATGTAATAATAATAATAATTTCAGCCACGCAACTGTATGTATACAGGGTATGATATTATACGGACCGCGATATTTCCCAATGTTCCGTTTGCGCGCATAATAGCGCTGTACGATTTAAATAATCGATCCCCTTAACAGTTAAACCTCGGCCGAAACAATCGCGTGCAATGGTACCTCCTACAGGTAAACCGGGAGTCCAACCCGTTACGTGCCTCATGAATTTCGTCATTTTTCTTGAATTATGCATCAACAGAGAGAGAGAGAGACATAGTTGTTCTTATACGAATCCGCATTCTAGAGAAGCTATGCAGTAAAAAGAAAAAAAAATGATAACTCGAAATCGACTCGCGGGTGAGAAGAGGGAAAATATGATGAGACAGTAGATTTGCCAGGGAGTATAAGGTAGTAAGACAAGTAGAAGAACGAGAAAAAGAGGAATTAGCGGAGGGAAGAAAGAAAGAAAAAAAAAATAGAGTTGAAAAGGTTGCAACAAGCACAGCGCGCGCGTGATATATGTATATACCTATACCTACGTATAACGGACTCGTTTACATGCAAATTGAAGGTGGCGGCGCGATTCTCTCACAATTTTCATTCGCTCAGCACGCGCTCTCTCATTTGTATATTACATACATGTGTATAGAGGTATGTATACCCGCGGCTCACGTGCAGATCTCGCGCTCTACCCGTATAATATATACCAATACGTAGGTACTCTCCTGTTGTACAGTTACCCGCCAGGGAATAAGGGACCTTCTTAACGTCGGCTATTTTTTCTCTCTCGTTTCCTCTCTCTCTCGCACACGCGGTATTCCCTGAAATGCCAAAATGTTTCATCGCTCTAGTGACGTGTTTTGATCCATCGGCGCGATCATCATTTCTCGTTTCCCACTTGGCAATACTCCCGAGAGAGTATATATAGGTACGCATACCTGTACACGCGCAAACATAATATACAATTTACCTGCGGACATAAAGAACGTTATTCCGGTACTCGGGGGACAATTGTTGAGGAGCTATGTATATATATAAGTTACAATCGGTCCGTGCACAAAAGAATCAACTGTGGAATCTGCGGCGCGGATGCACGGAGGGAAGCCGAATATAGAGCTTCTTCTGTATTGTGCTACGAGTAAGTATCGACAAGACGTCCTAGTGTCGATCGGTGTACAAGCGATAAGTGACGACAACTTCGGGGGACCAGTAAGTGTATTTTCAGAGTTGGAAATAAAAAAAAAAAAAACAAGAAAGAAAAGAGATATCGCGCGTGAAATTAAATACCATCAACTGCAGCTTCACTTTATACGAATTGGGAATGAAAGTAATATATCAAAGTAACAAGCCATACCGACCGTATCGGGGATATATTATATACTATGGTCTTAGCCGCGGAGCGTAACATGTATATCCAATAACCCATCGCCGCATTAGACGTAAGTATATATTATACATAGATAATAATATTGAAACACGGACGGTGTAATTCACCGGATGCAGGGATATAATATATATGCATACATTTATTCATGCTACGGGCAATCACAGATCGGTACATTGTCGCGCGCGGCCATACGATACACTTTCACTCTCCTCCTCGCGGCGCGACTTTTCTATGTTTGCAATACACACACACACACACACACACACACACATAAATATATTATTGTTGAGGAAATCCATCTTGTTTTCTATATATTTTCTACACGCGCACCGAATCGAGACCTCAGCCGAGGAGGAGGGGGAAGGAAAAAATTGCAAGCTCTCTTCCTCCTCCGCCCCGTGAACCTCAATTACGCTCAATAATAATCAGAGAGCGGTAAGCGCTCTCTCGGAATAATTAATGAAAATTGCGCTTCGCGCAACGTATCGCCCGATAACAATAGCAACGATGATGATCGTGATGATTCCTGCCTTTATATAGTTACATCGACCCACGACTAATTGACGAGAGCAAGTTATGGTGTAGCCTACGAATGATGGATCCCCGGTAAAGCTGTAAAACGCACTCGTGCAAACATGCGTATATATATATATATATATATATATATATGGACTCGAGAGGGGGATACCGTTTCTCCCGAGCGCCCGCAATTCATGGGCCGTGTATGCATTGGAAAATCGCGAAATCGTTGGATAACGCACGCGGATAAACTGGTAAGGGGATTTTTGATCTAAAATGAGCTAAAATGATGTATTATTTTCATGACTCACCTGTGTTTGCGGGGCAGGGTGCAGGCTGCCGTGACGTTGACCACGTCGTTGTACCTCGAGCTCGAGGTGGATCTCCTCTGGTACCTGGGGGCCTCGGCGCAAGCACCCTGCGTGAAGCTGTAGGTGCGCCTCTTCTTTAGGCACAGCATTTTCACGTATACTTTATACGAGGCAGCGAACACGTCCTCACAAGACACACTCGGGATTTCGTGCTTTTGTCGTCTCCGAAGCAATGACGTCGACGACCCCGCGGACTCTCATTCTCGTTTCTCGTTATATTATGCGGTACCCGATGGGTGTTGTACTATACTTGATGGTGACTTTTTCCGCCGCTCCTTACGGGCCGCTGACGATGATGCCTCGGCTCGTTTTGTATGGGCGACGATGACGATGCGCGGCTGTGTTATCTGCGGACACGGAGAAGAGCCCCCAGTTAGTTATATACGTATTATATGTATACCCTATTTATTGTGTTGTCGGCGAAGGGGATTTTTTTTCTGTTTTTGGGGGGAAATAAGTAGTGGCTCTCGCTCTCTTTTGTTTTTTATCTGTTTCACTCGACGGGGAACATTTTTCTCTTTTCTCCCAGCAAAGTGTTCAAGCTCGCAGTTGGACTTTTCAATTTTTATGGATATTTTTAGAATAGTTGAGTCATTTTTAATGGAAAAAAAAAAAAATCAATGTAGGCAAGTGCTAAGATCGTTCAACGTGGACCCATTCAGCTGTAATACATATATACCTTTACGGATCAGTTGCGCGTAAATATTTTTGTAAAATCGAGAAATACCACCTCGCGTGATTAAAAAAAAAAAAATGAAGAGGAAAAAAATCTCTTTCACGTCCCCGACCCGCGTGATGTTAGATTAACGGTTATGCTCCGACTGTAGAGCAGCCACGTATATACATACATTACACCGTAAAATGACATAACTCTCCGACCGAGAACGCATTCCTCGGAATTTCACGTTCCACCGCATCTTCGAGCCCATCTTTTCCTTCTTTACCTCTCAGCTGGTCGATGCTCAAGTTTATTCTGTATATATGTATACCCACGTAAGCGCGTGCTCGATTAGCATAATGTATCGAAGGACGGCGTGATGGCTCGTATATACACAAAATACATTTATCGCTCCCGAGTAGCTCCGATCGTCCTATTAATTAGATGCTTCTTCTTTTTTTCTTTTTTTTTCCTCCGAAATTAAAAGCTTCACGATAATCCGACTGCGTATTGAATTTATTACACTCTCGAGTTGTAATCATCAAGCTCCGAACTGGGTACCTTGTTTACGTGATTTTTTTTTTTTTAATCACTATATACACTGTGAATCCAAGTGGTTGTTAATTCATTCGAGTACGCGACAATTAAGAATACTTCGAAAGCCCGAGTGTTTATTTGTGGAAAATTTTTACAAGTAGGTATACACATTAATGTCAATGTTTGAAATGGATGTACATAGTGTATACAGAGTACCACCACGTACACGAGACTACAACTAAAAAAAAAAAAAAAAAAAAACGGTGTTCGATGAGAATAAAATTATTACAGAGGCGTATCGGGACAATCCATCCTCTCGTTCTCGTCAGCAAACAAATGATCCCCCGGGCACACCTCGCATCCGATACCTCATCTCAACTGTACGATTTCCATCGCGAGTCACATGTCGTGTATCGTATACATATGTGTTGTATACTCATACGACAACCATCCGGGTGGCCGTTGATCTACAAATCGAGAACTTGATCTTCCCGATGCTCATTTCCGGGTGTGCATGTGTGATCATGTAGCCGTTGCGGAGTGGAAACTACATTTTTCAAAAAACCATCATCCAAGGCAGCGCACTCGATTTAAGAAAAATAAAAAAAATGGAAAAATATCACTACCGCCAGCAGCACAACTAAGTAGGTATATAGAGACGAAGAGAAGGAACAATCGGCCGTCACAGAGAGACCCTTTTGTCAACGAAGGGGGGAGGAAAGGAAACAAAAAAGGGAAAAGAAAAGAAAAGAAATTTTTTTTTTTTTCAAAAACGAGAATAATAAAAGAGGAAGACGACCGAGAGGAGTAACGTGCGCCCGGGCGTCAGGCTCGCGCCGATGCTATAACTGTACTGAACTTGAAGTCGAGCGCAGGAGGAGGCAACAGCGGCAACGATCATCAAGAGAAAGAGAGGCTCGAATGTACAGGGTATATATATATATACGATGGGCGCGCGGCTCTCCGCTGCACGTATCATATATATATACACCGCACGCGGCATACTATTATAATATTTTATACGTGCACCTGACGTCGATGGTGGTGATGATGATGCTCCTCCATACATTGCTATATGTATACGGGAGCCCCCCGTGGTGAACTGCGCGCCACACAATGTCTTATTAGACGCGCTGCGTGAAAATGTCCAAAGGCGCTTTACTTGCTCGCATGTATACGATAAAATATATTTATATGTTGATTATGGACTAGTGTCTCTACTGTTCGACCAAGGTATAAAAATTAGTCGAATCTTGTACCGTTTTACCTACACATTTCTCCACGTAATAAAGTTACGGAAGTGCATTAGGGACACGCAATATATCTCGAGCCCATATTATTTTTAATCATCGTGTACAATGGTACAATTTTCTAAAAAACTTTGTTTCTCTTGCCCGGAAAAACAAAAATACGATTTTTATCGTTTCTTTCCTTCGTGCATGACACGTCTTTACTTTTTCACTTGGGCCTCTGCGCGAGAGGAGGCACTATAAAACCAACCTTTCGTGAGTTATCAGACCAAGATCAACATACCCTCTCGTAAAAGAAGAAGAGATAAGAGCCCGATCGCGTAATCGTGACGTTTATTTTGCGAATGGCCCGAAGTATATGCGTGTGTGTGTTTTTTCCTCTAAAAGCTACACGAGTGGGATGCTGCGAGCCTGGACGACGATAAAACGCGCGGAAACCGAGAAGGAAGTCACACCTCGGTGGGTAACACGTATACGCTATCGTATAATTAAAGACTTTGATAAGAGGGCGTTAGAGATCGAAGAAAAAAAGAAAAAGCTGTTATTTATGGCGCACGAGCTAAAAAGTTATGTAAATCCAAGCTCGACGCGCGTTTGGTGCGTGACAACATACGGTGTCTCAAATGCGTTTTAGGAACATCTATATCAGGTTGTCCACGGGCAAAAAAAAAAAAAAAAAACTCCGTTGGACCGGTCTCTAATAATACCTCTTTTTTCGCACTGAATAAATTTATACCATACTTGCACTGGTACGATATATTATGGCTAACGCGTGATTTTCAAGGAATTATCGAAACGACCTTGCGCACTTTCGTTGAAAACCTTGTGTGTACACGCACAATTTGCGGATAAAAGTTTTTCTCTCTCGAGATGACAAAAAAAAAAAAAAAGGAATCTCGCCAGGTATTTTGATTGAACAAAAAGCGCTGTTAACCCAACTTTGCGCAAGAGAGGAGGAAAAAAAAAAAAAAAAAAAAAGAGAATCCAAACGATGCGGCCATACGCGAGAGGCAGCAAAAAAAGGGTTTGCGCGTACCTACACCTTCACGTACACGCGTCGTCAGCATCATCAAGTGCTCGAGGTCCACACTGCAGGGATCAAGTACACGTAAGCCGGAAACGCGGGAGATTCCGCTCGCCTCTCATTCTTTCGCTCTTGTAAGTGAGCGAGCGAGCCCGAGAGCATCCCTCCATGCGTAGCGCGTCTTCTCCTCTATTTTTCCCCATCCGTGGTTGTACCCATGTGTGTACACCCGGTGCTTCCACCGTCATTTATTTATGTATACCCATACGCTGACGTTCTAAGCGCTCGTGTCTAAATTACAAGTGCACACGCGTGACTGTATGCGTTTAGTCGTGCAGTACCTACACTGTACGTAAAAAATTATATTTGCAATTATATCTGTTGATTAAAAATTGATAGCCAAGTGCATGTTTGAAGAAAAGTCGGGTTGGTGGAACAAAAATAAATGCACGATTACAAACGTGGAACAGTTTTTTTTTTTTTTTCCACAGCATCGAGGACGGATGAATTGAACAAAATTTATCGAATGAGAAGAGCAAAGGCATCGTTAGCCGATCGTTGGGAGAAAAATCGAGCGGAGCACTCGGGATAAAGAAAAACGCGAGCGATCCGAGAGAAATACTTAGGCGCGCTTCCCGTTCCGATTTCCGATCTCGACGGTGAAAATCCAAGGAACGCGATCGGAAGAAGAAGAAGAATACGAAAATTCCTCGCGCGCGCAATAACTCACAGCCCCCCCCCCACCCCTTCACGGCCTTCCATTCCATCCGATTTCACTCGCGAACAATTTCCTCCTTCCTCTCGCAGTGTGTGCATCTCCACGCATATAATGTATACGCTTCTCTGTAATGTATAAACGAAGAAGAAGAAGATGGGGATAAATAAAGGGGAGGAGGAGGAGAGAGAGCCATAAGAACAACAGCATGTAGCAAATGCGCGCAAACCGTAGGAGAGAAAACTCGCGCGCGCTGGCTCTCGCGCAAGTGCATCAAGTGCAGTTATGTTGGACTGACCGCCAGCACCAACTATGTACGTGCGATGTATGTACCTACCTTGTACTTGCATAGCGTGCGTAAGTATATATAAGTATATGGGAAAGAGCCAACGCATATTACACACAGTACCACCGACTTGTGTTGCTAAGCAGCAGAGGCAAATATACATATACCATGTACAGCAGCCATACACGACGCGTCTGTGTATACTTATAAAAGTACCCCTCTTTCAAGAGAGCCGCTCTCGCGTGCGAGTATACAGGTGCACGGGGATAAATCGTGGGGATCGAATTTCGATCGGGAATAGCCGAACAACCGCTAGGGGTAACGTTTTCCGACCAAAGTGTATATATATATTCCAAGGGCTTCCGAGAGCCACGCGAATTGACGGACTCGCGATACGCCGGTATACTCTCTAAGCTAGAAAATCGCCACTACCGATCTCTCCCCCCCCCCCGCTGCCGCGGTAGCAGCAGTATTAGTTTGGTTTTCAATGAATAGACGCGGACGGATTTGCTCCTTTACTTATACACATCGCGGGGGGAAAGACGGATACCGAATCGTTTTGCCGATAATAGTCGAATGTGCTCGGACCGATCGATCGGTAATTAACGTTGACTTGCGACGATTATTCGAGCGGATGGTTAATGGGCGGAGGTGAAAAATCCATACGGAGATAACTCGTAGAAATTCCAGGGTATTATCCAACAACTGTTACGACGCCCGTTAGATCCCAGGGTATGTGGAGGGAGAACACAAAATACCCGCGCGTGCGGTTAATGAGCGCGCGAAATTTTTTCAAAAGCAAGAGAGAGAGAGAGAGTGCGCGCTCCCCACAGCCCCTTCTCTGTGTACATATATATATATATATATATATAGCGNGGTATCGCGACCTTCTTTTAGTGCTAACCAGCGGCTCCACGCCTCGGGTATTTCTGCGAGTGTTAAAATAAATAAGGTTAGATTAAGACAGCTATGATTATACCTGCTTCTGACACTCGACGTGCGAAGCAAATATTTTCTTGGTGACTATAAATAAATGCATATAACAACACGCAGTAATAGTCAACTTGCCATTTGTTGCTGAGTGTTCTAGAATTTAAAAAAAACTTATACATCTTTGCAGCTTAATGAGAAAATATTCATTGTATCGACGTTGCACCACATACTCATATTGGCTGTGTAGATTATAAATAATACAACTTTACAGATTTACTACGCAAAAGTACTTCAAGTATATACAAATTTTTGGAACAACAGCAGTAATCTTCAGTGCCAGTGTAAATAATTATAAACTCACCATTTCAATGATGTTTACAAAGCGAAAGTCCAGAAGATAATTTCCCAATGTTGACGTCCAAAGAAAAGTCAAGGAAATCCCCTTAGCCATGTTAGACTAATTAAACTTGGTTGGTGACGAGAATCTCATGCAGTCACGCAAGTAATTTTGTAGTGAAGGTGACAAAGGATGCTGTTAATACACAGCACTTACGACAAATTTCATCAAAAATTTGAATACAGTTTAGCGAGAGAAAAATAGCTTCATTTTATGTAAACGAGAATATTCCAGACAGTAAGAAGAAAAACCGCAAGCGATTACAGCAAGCTTCGGAAACGAAGTGCCAGCTCGAGCAGGCCCGCATGTTCATCGAACACTTCGCCAACTCGCCTTACATCGAATATTTTCGACGACTCACGGCCCCCCCCCCCTTCGAGCTCTGTTAAGCCAAGAAAAATATCGATACACATGCATACATGAAAAATACTCTCGCATAAGATCGCGTTCAGATGGAGTGAAAACGGTGCGGCACAGCAATTTATTAGCCAACCAGAGCAGTTTGCAGTAACTGCATTGGTTCCGATAGGCTGATATATTCCTGCGTCGTTGACGCTCTATGGGATCTAAAAATATATATATATATATATATATACACCTACTCCACGGTAACGAGAGCCGCGGCTGAAAAAACAAAACATCGGAGGGGGGGATTATAAAGAGCTCGTGGCGCAATAATGACCGACAGGTCGAAAATTCAAAGCGCGTTTCTCATAACGCGGAACGACGCGTATACGTACACACACACACCAGGAGATAAAAGGCGGAGAGAGAGAGAGAGGTATTTTCTCAAGGCCACGCGCTCGCGGCGCTGAAAAGAGAGAGAGAGAGAGGCTCGTGTGTGTGTGTGTTATAATAATAATAACAAGATTTCGCGAGTGTGTCCCCCTCGTGCAGCCGGGAGATTGAGATTTCGCGATTCCCGGCTAAACCCGCGCGGCGCGCCATGCCATGCATCTCTCGGGTGCGTTTCGTGCAGTCGGATAATTGACAGGGAGGGAGGGAGGCTGCAGTGTTCTATCAACGGCGGCAGCGCGGCCGTACGGTGGCGGCCTTCGAGGGAGACGTCTCTACTGGACGGCCCTCCTCCTCCTCCTTCGCGCGCCGCGTCGGGGAATTCCACTTTTATCCCGCGAGTGTATATATATACGAGTCGGTCGAGAGGAGACGGGAAAATTAGCTTTTTTTTTTGTTTTTGTTTTAAATAAAAGATTGGAAAATTTCAAAGTTTTCGTTAATTTCGAGGGGAGTTTGCACGCAGCTTCTCTACGGATGGGGTGGCTGTTTCTGTTTTTTTTTTAGACAAGAGTAACAAAGTCGCCAGTTTCGTTGATGAAGACGAGATTTTTAATTTCATTATTGATTTATGTACGAAAAGTATCGGTCGAGGATTGAAAAGAGAACGAAGGTTGTGATTGTTTTTCAATAAGTATTTTATTTTGGCGGATGGAAAAGTTAATTTTAATCGTAAGAGAATTTTTTAATCACGTTTCGGGGTGATGTGACGTCAAAGGTTGCACGAATAGCATCTAGGATCTCCTAATTTTTACAATAGCCCATATATGTATATTATCAAATGATTAGGTGTGATTAGTGGCGGGTGGGAACGAACTTTGATTACCTTGCGAAATGCTTTATCCAATTAATTAAAAACTAATGATGTTTAATTACGTTACAACTGGAGAATAAATGGAAAAAAAAATGTTTCTCACCGTATCGATGAAATATTAATTGTTGCTCACATTCATCGAAGGAAAACATACTTGCTTACGAGGGCAAGGATTGGAGCGAAAAAAAATCTAGCAACTTTTCGATCGACAGCCAAGGTATAAAACAGGACGAGGAGGAGGAGGAGGAAAGAATAAGGAGGCGAAGAAAAAAATCCGCTAGGCGATAAATAAACTTACGCGTGTGGAGGGTCAATTACCCTGAGCCAAGTGCATGTTGTTGTTATGCACACGCGCGTTATATAGAAAATAAGCAGTATACGTAACAGCATACAGTAAGGGTTGGGCGCACTTTTTCTCGCTGGCGCGACTAACGCAATCGAGATACTGTATAACGACTAAAATCTAATCGACAATTCACCAACCGCCGTATGTATAAAAAAAATAACTCTCTTACGTAGGAACACTATGCCGGTTATTTGTCTTTTTTTTTTGTCGGCGCCTCTAGCCAGAATTTCGTTGTTTTAATCATTTTTCGCGAACGGCTGTTGAAACTACTTACCTTAGCTATTTTACGCCATGAGACAAAAAAAAGCATAGCTACAATCCGGAAACATACGCCATATACTGTGACTTACACCCCTTTGAACAAGACTTGTTTTCTTATTTGTTTCAACATTTTATGCGCACTTCCCGCTGTGCTACACTATGATGTACTTAACGACAATATAATATATATTACTTTTTATAATAAGTATAATATACATATATATATATAGTATAGAGCGATGAGAGCAGCATAGAGAGATCCGTGTTGTCTTTACGCGTGACTGAGTTCCGGCAACATTTACATAATGTTTATTTTGTATTGTCTTACTACGAGGTTATATCTAGCGAAGAGTTCGTAAATAATTTGCTACAAACTGTACAGTGTTAACTTACATTAACTCGTCAGTTTGTCCTCGTTTTGTTGCCCAACTTTGAAACAACTAATACAATGTAATGTAATAATAAAATTCAATAAGAAACGATTACTTACCCATGGTTCTTTTTTTTCTTCGTAGAAAAACAAACCACTGCCGGTAACTTTGAAGCTCTTTGTAATAAATCAACGCGACTGCACAAAAAAGCAAAGTATATCTCACTGTACGACTCGCACCAAAAGTAGTCCTCTAGTAAAAAATGTCGCACGACGGTAAATACTTATTAAGTATACCGCAGAGATGTGCAACTCTGCTCCGAAAAATTTAGTTCCTTGTAATTATCATGCATGTATTGTTGCATCCTTCATACGCTTCCTTGCGTTAATCAAAGCCAAGAAAGACGAAAAAAAGCCCACACACACGTGCTCATCCCAACGATGATTTTCTTCCGTCTGGCATTCGTCCCTGTTCCGTCTTTGGCAAAAAATACTTATGAGGCTGCAATGAAATAATTAAATTTTTCCGGCCATTTCGAGGTTAGAGGATCGCTGTAAGTGTTTTAAACCGCGCGTCTCTTGCACTATTGAGGTAGGTACTCTTAGGTAAGTATGTAAATAAATATACTGATTTCACACGTGATCAAAACGTTTAACGGAGCGCAAAGTCACAACCACCACTTAACAACATGCGTCTCGATCGAGCGTCTCGCGGCGACTGTTTTCCGTTGGCTTCAAGTAGCGCGCGCTGCCCGCACACCAGCGGCGCACCCCCTGCCTTCGGCTACCTTAGGTTCAAAGCACCTGCTCTCATTTGTGTATACCTACCGAGTACCTATATAATTGCAGATATTCATACTCACGGTTATTGTATGATCTTATATGCGAAATGGTCCCCTAAAAATGACCACCCTTTAATTGCTTTATTAAATCTTTTTTAACGATTTTGAATAAAAAAGGTTTGGTACTTTGTTAAGGGTTACGTGAAAACTTGAGCAGTGAACAAATTTTCGGTTTATCATATACCATTATGGTTAAAAAATGGCCATTTTCGCAATTTTTCGAATGTTCCGTAATTAATATCTTTATAGCTATCTATTGTAGAGAAAATTTGAAAAAAAAAACTCTTTTTATTCAAAACCATCCATCAGAAATACTAAAAAACAAAATTTTCGGAGTATGATAAATAATTTTTTGAATTGATTCTGAAAAAAATATTTAAAAATTTGAGTATTCTCACACCGATCTGCAGTTACGATCACTAAAGACTTTTTTAAAAGTTTAAGAAAAGCTTGAATACTTACGTCTTCGGCATTAAAGGTAGATTGGAATGTTCAATCGAGAGAGACAATTAACTGTTCTATCCTACGAGAACATGAACAATGGGACGATAAAAAAGCGCATTTTTTCGTAATAAAAGCGGAATGTGCGGTGACGAAATTTTGATAGTATTCTTACAGAAAAATTTAATGTCATTGCTTCAAAGAAATTGCATTGTAGAGCAGCGAACGTTAAAAACCGTTTAGAAAGAAGGATGTTGTGTGAGTGACAATAAAATGCTTACGGAATAAAAAATAGTAGTGAAAGGGATTTGCATTTTCAAGGGTACTCGATAAAATTTCAATATCAGAATATATATATATATTTTTTAAATATTTTATTATTCGCATCGTGTATATATATTACGTAAATACAATTGATATAAAACCTTTTTTTCTCGCTCCTCTTCACCGCACAATAATATAGTGCGTATACTGTTACACACCGACTTATAAATATCATGCTGTCTTAGATGCAGCGCAAACATTTAATTGTATTATTGTATACCGTCTAAGCGACCGTATATGTATAACATACATATATACCTTCGGATGAGTCGTGTCTAATTGACGCAAGGGAACAAAAACGTGTATGTATGTGTTAATACAAAAAGGTCTTTCGCACACTCTTTTACTCACTCGCTCGCTCGCTCGCTCTCTAAAATTGATGCTGAGTGCATCGGTCTAATGTCTACTAGGAAGTCCGAAGAAAACGTTTTCTCTACGAGTTTCTTCTGATTATCGATCCATCATTATATAAAGCCGATTGTCTACGATTGATAAAAAATAGTTCATACGGTGTCTTTATTTATCGTAGATGAGTACAAACACTACATTTATTGTATAATCCATGAGGACATCGCTTGCTTGATTTTGGTTTTTTTTTTGCTTAATTGCTACAAACGAAGTTAGACAATATTTTTATAAACAACAGTTACTCAGCAAAGGCAAATTGTTCTTTAATGTTAGTTTAATCATGTTTTATCGTTAAATTTCTATTGTGTAATGAGTAGGTCCGTCAATTTTGCGAGTTTTCCGTATTTTTCATCATCAGGGTGATCAATTATTGAAAAAATATTTCTCACAATGCTATGCTTCAATCTGATTATACAATCAGGTGCTGAAAAATTAAAGGAGTACTTACTGTGGAAGAGGCTACTCATGCCGTCAAGATAGAAAAACTTTTTCATGACAAGACTCAGATATCAATAAGCAAATAACAGCATCGATGACTGTTTCATGTTCCGAATTTTATATAAAGACAAGATATAAGGCTAGCAAAGTGACAACAGTGAATTGAAACAAAAAAATTCTTTTAGTTTGAAGGGATTATTTTACGAGTCGACTGTAGACTCGTTTGTGGGGAAAGATTTTTCTTTGTAACTTTGTAGAGATCTAAAATGAATTTGAAGGATTTTCAAGATAATTCAACGAACATTAACAGCTAAAATGATTGTAATAATTAAGCTTCACCTAATTTAGGTGAATATTCGATTCGTACTACTTTGAAGCAATTATTATCAATGTTGGGAAAAAGGCTCTAAAAAAATTGGCACAAAATATATATCTAAGGCAAAATTGTTTCGCAGTCGATATTGTCCTAAAAGCTTTTTCAGTACAACCTTAAATTACGTTAAAAAACACGATGTATTATTTATATTGCTTTAGGGATTCAATAAAGTACTTAAAAAAACGATTCTACGTTGAATACCGATGGGCTATAAAAATGACATTGAACACAAACAACTTCTAAACTATTTGGCGTTTTGTCTCGACCTTTACTTTGTCTTTTTCACTCTGAGTGTACGTTTAAAAATCCTTAGGGTTCAGTAACTTCTAAAAAAGCACACTTAAAGGCCTCACCTGATTTTGCTTTAGTCCGAGTATTATCTTACGTCTCTATAGTCATTTTCTTATTTCATAAAAATTGTGCGCAATTTGTACATTTCGTATATCTATAGTCCGCAAGACAAAATATATATGAGGTACTATTAAAACTGCAATAAATTAAAGCAAACCGCAAAAGTACAAAAACTAATTCTAATTTTACGGAAGATCGGGTCCATGCTGAGTCACATTTTTTTTTTAATAGCAGTGCTATTTTTGTTTTTACGTCATTGATAACAAAAAGATTACGGGGTAAGAGTTGCAGTTAAAAAATGCTTCTCAGGTTGGAAAGAAACTCGTACGTCTATACAGCTTTCACGTCGTCAGTGTTCCTTAGCAGTGCAGCAGCTTTCACGACATCTCCACCACACTGGTTCAACATCACCTTGCAGTCCTCGAGGCCCACGAAATTATTTTCCTTCTTCAGCAAGCCTTGCAGTCTTTCTAATTTTATAGCTGCCACGACGTCCCAGCTCGTGACGTTCAGAGCTGCCACGCACGATTCTGGAGTCGACTGCTCGCCCAACACTTTGAGCATGATTCTCACCTGTCGAAACGAAAATCATCGTCACGTGAGAAAAAAAAACGTGCTCGATAAAAATAAAAGAAGAAAAAACCTCAACCCACCTCGTCCGATTGCTCGCCGTTGCGTGGTCCACGAGTGCGACGGGAATTCGGCCCGTCGCAGGCAAATTCCAAGAGATCCTCGCACGACACGTGGTCGCCGCTCTTCTCGAGCTTTTGCTCAGCCGACGACTGCGAATTTACCCTGCTGTGAATCGAGTTGCCATTGGTGGGCGTTGAATTACGACTAAGCTCGTCGGCATCCTCCGAAATCTCAGCTGTGACCTTCCGCGTGACTTGCTCGACAACGGGAACATTAGAGATTTCAGGACTGCCGGCAACAGTGTCGTCGTCCTCGCTATCGTTCGTATCCATGCAATCTATGAGATTCTCGGAAAACTCAAGTAGATCCTCGGATATGACGCTGCAGCGGTGATTCCTCGTGTCTTCCGCTGGCAGGGAGTCAAGGGCTGCAAGTTCCGAGTCGATTCTCCTTTCAAACTCCTCCGGGCTGCAGAACAATCATCATCACCGAACGTCGGATACTTATCGATCAAAGAAAAAGCTGTAATGCTTACCTGCTGCTGACCGTAGCCTCCGACTGATCAACATCGGAGCCGGACACAAGTTGGTTCGTTGTCTTGTCAGCTGCGGTGACCACGACTTCCTGCTCACCGTCGGTCGGCCCGTGAAAACCATCGACCTGATCCTCCATCGCCGAACTGGAGACAGCTTGTATTTTAGCCAGCGTCCTGGTGACTCCACCAGGTATGATGAGCGGATGTTTTCTCTGGTGACGAGGTAGGCTCGACTTGGGCTGCAGGGTCTTGGAGCGATCGCGCGGCGGCAGGGGTATCGGGTTCTCGTCGTTGTTGACGTTGCCCTGGTTCTGGTTGTTCTCGATTTCCATCGAGCGGTGTCGGTGCATCAGCTGCTGCTGCGCTTGACTAGGTACCGGCGGGGGGGCTTGCGAGGGTGCCGGTATTCTGAGCTTGGGCAAAGTGCGAGCGCCGCTGCTATGCCGGTGTGCGCTGTCCAGCTGGAAACTTCGAGCACTGCTCTGTAAAGTGAACAACTATACGTTAACGGCGTGGTAGTGACTGAAGTCTCTGAAGGAAAATAAGGATTCAAAATTTACCTTGTGATGGTGGTGGTGGTGCTCGTCGTCGTTGCTGACGCTGTGGGATGATGTGTGCTTGTTGCCGCGCACGCGAGGCCTGACGATCGGCAGACCCGAGCGCAGCATCCTCAAGGGATTGGTGTCGGGAGTGTCGGCAGCCGAGGTCTCGACCAAGCTGTTGTACACCTCCTTTGCCTCGTCAGAAAGTGTCGCCTGGTGAACACAACACAGCCGGGGGAAAGGGTAGAGGCGTATGACGTTACGAACGGACGGTGCCAACGTAAAATAATCGAAATCATAATCGAAGTGAAAAGCAAGAGCAGATAGATAGAACAACAACCAAGCAGTGTTTGTAGTTTAAAAATACAGATACTAAGATAGAGGATGAGGCTGATGCTTGTACGTATGTATATACAGGCGAGTGGTAAGTATAGTGTTATATATACAGGCACGAGGCAACTGATGCTGATTGTTGTTGCGTGCAGGGTTTTTTTTTTTTTTTTTTTGTAATGTGGAGGTGGTGGTAACATGGTTCTGGGTCGAGGTAATGAGATGCTCGGAAGCGTGACTATAATATGAAGGTGGTGATGAGATGTCCTCTACGTACAATTGTAAATACTAATTGCAAGTTTAGGATGTAATTTGCGGAAAGTGTAAAATACGTTATTGTTCTCCGTGAGGTGTCGTTATAAATTTGTAATAATAGAGATTAAATTTCTCGCTGCACAGCAAAATTTTTAACAGGTTTCTGTTGAGTACAAGTATCTTGATCAGTATAATGTAAAATTCAAAGTTGTTTCATATATATTAATGCCCATAAAAATTAATCGCATGGATTGCACTTGACATTCAATAATAATAATGAGCTAATCGATGATAAACAGAGTTGATAAAAAGTTACAAGTAAAACAAACGCGGTACTCTGTCGAATGTGTATTTTTCGTACTATAATCAATGGAGGGATAAATATGAGCTTACACATTACGAAGTATTGTAATAAAATATACGGAATGGTGATTCCGATGTGTGACTTATATGGATACGTAAATACAAAATTTAATCCAAACGCTCGACTTAAAAGTTAGCTTCTACGCTTACAAACATTAAAAATGTATATGAGTATCAAAAAGTTTCTTTGAATTATTATCATTAGCATCATCATCGTGTGACAACTTATAGTCTAACTTACTGCGTGCAATAATCGCAACTCCCAAACCGGATCCAACGAACGAGGAAAAATTTTTTCTTTCATCGATATAAAAAATACGTCCTGATTTAGAAATTCATTTCTTTTTTTTTTTTTTTTTTTTTTTTTCTTCTTTTTTTTTGTCCCCTTTTCGCGTCAGAGC